GGGGGTGGGGGAGGCGGGGGGATTGTTAAGGGCGGGGAAAAAAAGGAGACATATGTAATACTCTTTGTAATACGTTAAGCAATAAAACAATTTAAAAAAAAAGAAACAATCGAAATAAAACATCCTAAAGTAAAAAAACAAAACAAAACAAAAAATGTGTGATTCCGTCTTACCTCAGGGTTTGAAGTTTCAGCTTCCTTTGTTTCATTAGTCTGTATACACTTTTGTTGCCTTTTTAAATTTTGTTCCCTCTAATATGATCTTCCATATGCATCTTGCTCCTCTCCCCCTCCATCCTCCCAACAACACACACAGAGAAATTGAGACAAGAATGGGTTTGGGCCCATTTCTTCCTACTAGATACTTGATATTTTGGTGCCTCTGAAACATAGAATCCAGTCCTTGACCTGGATTCTTCGGTGCAACAAACCCAAGTTACTGTCTATGTGAGTCATATGTGTCTTTTGTAGTTTTGAATTTTCAGGACAAGCAGGCGGATTTGATTGCTGATGGCTTTCATTTTCATATCCATGACTTGCAAACCTTTTTTTGTTGCCTCTGTTTTCTAGTGCTGCATTAGATGTGGAATTATCTGATGATTCCTTCCCTCCAGAAGACTTTGGCATTGTCTCCGGAATGCTCAACGTCAAATGGGACCGGATTGCCCCGTATCCTCTTGACCCTGGGTGATGAAGGCTGGCGGTGGGGGTGGAGGACGTTGCCACCAAAGAAAGCGGGGTCCCTTCCAACAGTCCAGGGGTGCATGGCCATTTTCTGTCATCTCTCTGGATGAGATTGGGCAGGAGATACTGGTGGCAGCTGTGTTCGTGTGCTTTGGATGCCCCTGAGGTTCTGACGTTTAGGTTATAAGCCCTAAGACATACTCTGTTGGGAAGACGTAGACACTTACTAGTAGATGTTGGTGGCCCAGCAAAGGAGGGTGCCTTTAAAAGAAATTCAATTGGATGCTAACGTGGGGGACCTGAGGGACCTTTCAAAGATTCTTCTTAGTCAATGGGTCTCTTATTCTGTTCTACCAGTTGTTTCCTGAGTGTTTTGAATTAGATTTTTTTCCCCATGTGAGTTAAAGTATGTTTAGATTTTCTGATGAGAGTTAGTGTTCTCTTTGTGGTTTTTGTTTGTTTTTATTTTGCATTTTCAAGAACTTCCTTCAGTTATAGTCAATGAAGGATTTTCTGTGAGCTTAAGTGACTAATTTTTCATCCATAACATATATTGTTTTGAAAGTTTACTTCAAAAACCTCGATACTGAGTACATCATGGATTTAAAACTTGGCTAAAAAGGCATCATATTGCCCTACCTGGTTTGGCTCAGTGGATAGAGCGTCGGCCTGCAGACCGAAGGGTCCCAGTCGATTCCAGTCAAGGACACGTACCTCCGTTGCAGGCTTGGCCCGGGCCCTAGGGCTCGTGCAGGAGGCAACCAATCGATGTGTTTCTCTCACATCGATATTTCTCTCTGTCTTTCCCTCTCTCTTCCATTCTCTCTAAAAATCAATGGAAAAAATGTCCTTGAGTGAGGATTTAAAAAAAAAAGGTATCATATTATAATATATGTTAGGCTTACAAAAAAGTGTATGTTTATTATTCTTGCAGAGGATTGCAAGTATGCAATCACCACATGTATTGGCAACTTCTTTTGTAAATGGTGCATTTAGTCCACAAGTTGAAAGGTTGTTACAACTTTAGCTTCATCTTTTTCCCTTCCTTAACTCTTGGGCCAGTGCTAGCAACGTCTCCCATACTGTTGTCCTGCGCCCTCTCAAGGCCGGTTATTTCAACTTCACCTCAGCAACTATTACTTACCTGGCCCAGGAGGATGGGCCCGTTGTGGTGAGTTGCCCAAACCCTTAGCTGGATGGGGCTCAGATCTGCCTTTGAAAACTCCTGCAGAAAATTGTCAAGGTAGCCACTAAATTCTGAGAAAGATAAGAAAGACCAGAAACGTGGGATATTGTCCTTAGGAAATATGTTTCAAATTATAAAGTTCCAGAATAAAGCAATTGAAATGGATGGGAGGGGAGTACTGTAGCATTCCCTTCCTCTTCATTCCTTCTGCTTGGCTTTTTATCTGGAATGTGTCAAATATCGCCCCGTTCATTGCTGTCCTTGCCCTTCCAATTCATCTATGCTGCTGTCAGATCATTCCCCATCTTCACTGTTTCCATGTCTTTCCCTTGCTTTGGATGCTTCTGCTTATTGCATCAAGGTCAAGCTTTTCTGCCTCTCATTGCATACCCTCCAGTAGTCCAGCTGTTCTCTGCCTCTCCTGCTTTCTCTCCACCCGACCCACAAAGACCCTCCATCCCAGTTAGGCCAGGCTCCTCCCGGTGAAGTACTCTCTCTCCTCCACTTCATTATCCAACGCCTTCTCGAGACCCAGCTCTGAGCTGCAAGGCCTTGTTTCTGTCGTCTGCTTTCACAATTCCCATTGCTCTTTCCTACTCCTTCTTTCAATAATCATTCATCGAGGCAACTGTCGCTCTTATGCTGCAGGCACTTGAACATTTAATTATTTACTGTCTTCAGTAGTTCTCTTTCTTTATGTGTAGGTCTTCCCCCCACCCTCACTCCCAATTTAATACACACCCCTTGAAGCCAGGGACTTTGTCTTAGATTTCTCTCTGTTTCCCATATTTAATAGAAACAGTAGTCAGTAATCTTTGACTGATTGATGTAAAGGTCAACAGACATTTATTGAGCCCTGCAATGTGCTGGACTCTGGGAGATACCAAGAAGATTAAGACGCTGTCCCAGCCCTCAAGAACCGTAGGTCATGGATTCATAAAGGCCTCTGACAGGACCATACGATGGGCTGTTGGCTACTTAGCAAGTACACAGTAGGGAGAGGACTTTGAATAGAGTCAACCATAGAACTAAACAAAATCCAAAATTCTCATTAAATGCACATTCTGAATTTTCTTTTTTTATAAACCATGTGGAGCCTTATTTTTGTAATCCCTGTTACATTGCCACATCTTGTGTCATTTCTACTTTCAGAATCCGCTTTAGAAATAGCGCTGGGATGTAAAGTACAGCACAGGGAATACAGTCAGTAATATTGTAATAACTAGCTGTGGTGCCAGGTGGGCACTGAAATACCAGGGGGAACACTTTGTAAAGTAGATGATTGTCTAACCACTATGCTGTACACCTGAAACTAATATAAAATAATACTGAATGTAAACTGTAATTGAAAAAAATATTTAAAATAGCTTGGCAGGGTGGCTCAGTTGTTTGAGCTTCCTGTGCACCAAAAGGTTGCGGGTTCGATTCCTGGAAAGGGCACATACCTGGGTGGTGATTTTGATTCCCTCTCAGGGAGCATGCAGAAGCCAACTGATGGATGTTTCTCACAGTGATGTTTCTCTGTCTCTCTCTTCCTTCCTCCCTCTCTCTACACGTCCTTGGGTGAGGATTAAAAACAACAATAACAACAACAAAAAGACATAATAAGATACTACCTCACACACACTGTGATGGCTATAATAAAAAATGAAGACAGTAACATGTTGGCAAAGATGTGAAAAAATAGAATGCGAAAACACGACTGGCGAGAACATAAAATGCTGCTGCCACGTTGGGAAAACAATTTGGCAACTCCTCAAAAAAATAAAAATAAAGAAAGAACCAACTTTTAGGACTCTGGTTCTACATGGTGTCTAATGGGTTAAAAGACAAAAAACCAAAGGGTCAGCTGCCACTTTAGAACAGAGTTGTTTGCACTGTGCTCCAAAGTCCTGGCCTGCTCTCCAAGACAGGAATGTGGGCCAGACTCCGCCCCCTCTAGTTCTGTACGTTTGGGTAGGGCTTTGTACTGTCCAGAATCTTTCTCATTTCATTGGAGCCTCACGGCACTCAGGTACAGAGGAGTATTTCCACTGGAGGAATAAGGAAATGAGTGGCAAGTGCAGGTCATTCCATCACACACTTGGCCCTGCAGAGGGGCCAGTGGTGGTGAGCCACTCTTTCCCGAGTCTGAGTCTAAGGTAGAAGGACTTGGTTTGAATTTCAGCTGCATCCCTGGCCTACTTGTTTAAGTAAATGCTCATCATGTGTTTCTCAGGTCTCCTGGCTCCTAATTTACTCCCCTTTACAACACAGTAAGAATCATCCAACTCTCTCTAGTTCAAAAGCTCTTCTTCCTCTTGAAGCTCTAAGAATCTAACACTTAGGCCCTGACTGCGTAGCTCAGTTGGTTAGAGCATCATCCTGATACACCAAGGTTGTGGGTTCGATCCCCTGTCAGGGCACATACAAGAATCAGCCAATGAATGCATAAATGAATGGAACAACAAACCGACATTTCTCTCTCTCAAGTCAATTAAAAAAAAGTGTTGCATGAAAGGAGAGAAGGTTAGCACTCCCCTTGACAAGGATGGAATTGGCTCTCGGGCCTAACAACACGCATACGGTTAAGGCATTGCCACCTACTTCGTGGCATCTAACCACTGAATGGGAAATTTTATCACTATAGATAGATGAATTGTATTGTGCTACTCTAGAGTAAGTAGGATGGTTCAAATAATACATTAGATTCAATTTCCTGATCTCATTATAAGACAGACCTCAAAGTTAGTTTTAATATGATGTTAAATAAATAACAAAACATGGGTAATGGGGGGGGGGATGAGGACACATTTGTAATACCTTAACTAATAGAGAATTTTTTAAAAAAAAGAATAACGCTTAGAACTAGGTTGGTTGGGACTGCCCTTTCTCAGGTGAGACAGTGTGGGGCTTGCCTTATGTCCTGCTTTTATTTTCAGGTTGGCTTTACCAGTGCACCTGGACAGGGAGGAATCCTGGCTCAGCGGGAGTTTGATAGGAGATTCTCACCTCATTTTGTAAGCGGCACAGTGTTGTCTGGGATGAGACCACCTTGGGTCCTGGGACCTCTTAGCCTCCTTAGAAGATTTGTTTAATTGGTTGGTTTTTGCCATATCTGTTTTTTTGGTGTCTGATACAGCCATCAAATATCCTGATTTAACTATGATTAGAGATTTTTAGTAATGAGATCACAATTATCAGAACCAAAAAACTGCCCTTTTTCTTTCCTCATCCTTGAGTAGAACCCCATCTTGGAGTCCTGAGGTTATTTTGAGATTTAAAAAGAATATCTGCTTAGATTCAAAGAGTTGTAGAGCATTGGGAAGGTGAAGCGGGAACTTAGCTGTGGTCTAGTCTAAGAGAGAATTTTTTGAAGATTTGCCTAAAGTTCTGAATGAGGAAATTCATGTACTCATCCATTCATTCAGTGAATAATTATGAAGTTCCTAATTATGTGCTCGGTTCAGTGCTTTGCTTTGGGAAACAATGGTGACCAAGACAGCCCTTTTCATAAAGATCTTAGGGGCTCCTAGGGACTCAGAACAAGTCACCGAGGGGAGATGCTCTGATGGAGATCGTATACAAGGTGCGGGAGGAGCATGCAGCAGGAACATCGAGCCTGGTCTGAGTCAGGGCGAGTTTCTGGAGGAGGAGGTTAGCAAGGATGGGCATCATAGGGAGAGGGAGCAACTCAGTGTGAGAAATAGCGAGGTGCCATCCAGGTATGCGAGTAGTCTAGGAGGCTGGAGGGCAGATGAGGCGGAGGGATGGGGGAGGGGCTGGAGACAGTGGGGTTAGATCACAGGAGGCTTGACTGTCCGGGCAATACTTGGCCATCTCCCTCCTCACAGATTGTCTGGAAGAGAAAAGCTTTTCTTCTCTTCTGGGTGGGGTCAGGTGAAGCTTTGGCTTCACAGCGAGAAAGATAGATTGGTTTTCAGAGAGCCATTCTCCCTCAGGAGTGGTCAGAGGAGCCTTCCCGTCAAGGTTCTGCTTGTGGGCGGGGCTGCTCCCTTTCTCATTGGCCCTCTCCTTCCTGGTCCTCTCCTGTGCCCTCCTCCCTCGTCTAAGCAAGGCCTTGTTGTCTTCCACAGCTGGACTGGGCAGCCTTCGGGGTCATGACTCTCCCCTCCATCGGGGTCCCCCTGCTGCTGTGGTACTCCAGCAAGAGGAAATACGACACTCCCAAGACCAAGAAGAACTGAGGGGCTTGCACAGCCCTCCCATCCCAAGAAACGCAGGTGCTTTCCAGACTCCAGAGGGATCTCAGATGCAGTCTCCTCCCTTAGCCCTCGGCCGCCTTCTCCTGGACCCTGCCCTGCTCTCATCCCGAGGGAAGGACTGGGCCGAGGACTACGAGAGCCTCCTCGCTTCCCCCTTGAAGCCATACAGACAAGAATGCCCCGAGCCTAGAGGTGCCCTGGGGTGTTTTGCTGGCGGTACGAGCTCTCCAGTGTAGGAGGGGGCATTTGGAGACTGCATGACACCACCCCCATCTCCTGCTCTCCCCTCTCAGAAGGGGATAGAAGATAAAGTGAAAGCTGTGTGACTCTCGGAGGCTACCCAGCTCCTGTTCCGGGTTAGGGAAGTGCTTACCAAATGGGTTTTCTAATAAAAACAAATGCCACACTGACTTGCCCGTTTTCTCATCAGCTGAGTGAGTGCAGGTTGTTGGAGCTCAAACCTGAGAGCCAAGGCTCCTGGGCAGGTGAGCGGAGTCCTGCCTCATTGCTGTGGGGGTTGCGGGTCCTGTTCCCATGGAGATACTGTTTATCTGCTTTTGAGCACCTTGCTTCATCTCTTATTTCCCTCTGCTCTCACCAGTCACCACATATTCCCCAGAACCTGTCTTGACTGTTCGCTCCTCTTAACTCAAGGAGAGGTGGGGAAGCCGTTCTGGTCTCATATACTGACTTGTTTTTGTAATCCTCACCCGAGGATGTTTTTCCCCATTGATTTCTAGAGAGAAGGGGGGAGGGGGTGTGGAGAAACATCCATGTGAGAGAGACACATCAGTTGGTTGTCTCTTGCACAAGCCCTGACCAGGAATCGAACCCAAGATCCTTTGGTCCCCAGGCTGACACTCTAACCACGGAGAAAACTGGCCAGGGTTTACTTACTGACTTGTTGAAAAGCTACCTCTTACACCTGGTTCTAGTCCTCCTTCTGTTTGAGAACTAGCTTTTCTTGAGCTTGCATTGCGCCTCTGCTCTGAGCTCTGGCCCGGCGGCAGCACCGGGATACCCTGAGCTGTCCCCGAGCACGGCCTGTGGAAAGGCGGCGGCTTTCGCTGCAGCAGCAGCAGCGGTGGGGAGAAGCCACTCCAGCTGACTCTGTCCAACCCAGGAATGCCGTGGTCCGAGAACAGCCTCCCAGGCAGGGGAGCAGCCCAACAAACACCCGCTTTGTTCCTGCCACCAGTTTAGACTCTGTTGGGGATGGGGGGGGGGGGGGGGGGGGGGGGCGTGCTGCCCAACCGGTTTAACCTTTCCTCTGCCCAGCAGCGGAGCCTCTGGGCCCCAGGAAGGATGAAAAGGACATGGAGGCAGCGCGAGGCTCCAAACGGAGTGGCCCTCCACCAGCTCACATCCCTCCTCCAGGGGCTGTGGCTCGGACACCCCGGGACCGGCCAGGTGAGAGCGCAAGGAGGGGACAGCACGACGCTGTTGCCATTGGTCCTGGTGGAGACCTGGGGCTTGCTCAGGAGAACGGGGAGAAAACAATGGTCAGGAGCTGGGGGTTGAGGAGGAAAAGGGAGCTGGTCTATGAAGCATTCGTCTTTGGAGGAGGAAGCGCACTTCCACCTGCGCGGTCTCCCTGGGAACAGAGCGAGCTCACCTGCAGGAGGCGGTGTTGTGCTCTAGAGGCCAGGATGAGCTTCGTGACCCGAAGGTCCTAGAGAACTCTCCTCCTGTCTCCACTCAGAGGTGCTCCTTTCCCGAAACGGGCCATCTTTACCTTTCCTGGCGGAGCTCAGCACTCCGTGTCCTGGGCCTTGTAAGAATGGAGGAGACTCGGGTGGGGGAGGGGGCGCGGACAGCTAACAGGAGAAGCATTGTGAAGGCAGTTCGTGTCCCAGGCACCTTGAAAAGGGGCCAACACCAGATACTTCCTCTCTGAAGGGATCCACTTCCACTGGTGTTGGATGGAATGCGAGCCCACCCATGAGCAGTGGGCTTGGAGGATGTAAGAGCCTCTAAAACAGAGGTTCTCAACCTGTGGGTCGCAACCCCTTTGGGGGTCGAACGACCCTTTCACAGGGGTCGCCTAAGACCATCGGAAAACACATATATAATTACATATTGTTTTTGTGATTAATCACTATGCTTTAATTATGTTCAATTTGTAACAATGAAAATACATCCTGCATATCAGATATTTACATTACGATTCATAACAGTAGCAAAATTACAGTTATGAAGTAGCAACGAAAATAATTTTATGGTTGGGGGTCACCACAACATGAGGAACTGTATTAAAGGGCTGAGGCATTAGGAAGGTTGAGAACCACTGATCCAGAGGGTTGGAGTAAATTTTGGCTTTATTGGTTATGTTTATTTTTTTTAAATAAGGAGAATGTATGATTGTGCTATTTGTATAATTAAAAGTTAAATACTTTAATAACATTTATTTTGGGGCCACCATTTAACATTTTTCCCCACTTCTACCATCTCTACAACAGGCTGGTCTACTGCACTGCCTCTGATATGTAGTCAAGCAGCCAGCGCAGCCGGGTGTCTCAGCTCTCCGCTGGGCACTGGCACCCACGGAGGCCCAGGAACCAGGATTTTAAAAAGATTCCCAGGTGATTCTAATGTGCAGCCAAGGTTGAGAACCACTGCTCTAGAGGCAGACTTAGCTGGAACAGTTGGCTTTATGATTGAACCCTGTTCACTTCTGAGGTAATTGACTGGGAGGAGGAGTGGTCGATAGCGTCCTTTGCTCTAATGGAAACCACCCTAGGAAGGTGGGAACCCTGATCTCCAGATTGTGTGCAGGTCTGCATGGCGGAGGGAAAGTAAGCCTGGGTCCCCCATCCTTCCTGGAGGTTGGGCACCAAAACAGGGGCTCCTCCCTAAAAGGCAATACAGATCCCACCCTGGGAGCCAGCTGACTATTCCTCCCACGTCGTCCAAACTTTCAGTTGGCACCTCCTCACCCACACCCAGCCCTGGTACCAGGAGGAACCAGGTGCCTGGGTGTCCACCTGCACACACTAGGCTTGGGGACTCCTCCTGAAGGAAGTCAAAGGGAAACGGGTGTACGAATTTCCAAGAAACGGGGAAATGAATGCAGTGGCTCCGAGTGGTGGAAGCAGGACTGACCACAGACGGGCAGCATGCTGGGCATCCGCCCTCCGCATCCACCACTTGCTGGCTGGCTGACCTCAGGTAAAGCACGCCCCTCCCGGAGCCTGTGTCCTCGTCTGAACTAACGCGAGATTGTTCAGTTAGAGGACTCCCGAGGCCCCCACGCCAGTAAGATGAGGCAGGTGTCTCCCCTGTGTTCTTATGACGGGAGAAGCTGCCCCTGTCACCCATCATGGGCTTTGGGGCCCAGCCAGGTAGGAAATGATGCAGTTTCCACATCTGGCAGCAACTGCCCTCTTCCTTTCACCCAGAAGGAGGATTTTAGAGCACGCATGGGCCGTGCACCACCTGATTCAACCCTCTTCTTTAATGGGTCAGGAAAGGCACAGGCCGGGTCAAGTGGCTTATCCCACACAGTGGCAGCTGGCGAATTTATTGAATAACTAGCAAGGGCCCGGCACTGGTGTGCCAGTATTTGCCCATTTCTCAGTTAACACCTCCATTTCACAGATGAGGAAACCAGGCTAATACATCACTTCTCCAGGCCCCATAACTAGTGAGTTGGCAGAGCCAGCTAAGGTCTTGCAGCCCCAGCAGGGCTGTCAGGAGGAGGATCCAGTTACCTCAGGAAGTCCAGTGTCTGCCCATGCTGTCCTCTGCCCCATGGAAAACGTGAGGGTGAGTCAGGCCCCCCCAGCTGTTACCAGGAGAGAGGTCAGGGGAGCCGGTCAGATATCCTGGCCTGGTATCCACAACAATGATGAGGGAGTGGGAGACATGTGGACGCTGAGCTGCCCGGTCACCATGTTCCTGTGGGCTGAAGGGAGGGCCCTCCTCAGATGTAGCTGACCCTGTGAAGGCTCCTCCCTTCATCACAGAAAGTACAATCTTTCCTCCTCTACCCCCTGCGGTAACCTGCCTCTTAAAGGGACCAACAATCAGTTTTGAAGCCAAATTGGAGAGAGGACAAAGGGCCTCCCTGACCCCAACAGGACCTGGCTGTGAAGTCAGTTTCCAGCTGTGAGCCTTTCCCTGCTGTTCTCTTTCTCTCCTTGGCTTCACCGTCCCCACGGGAGGGAGGGCGAAGGCTCCTTGGATGTCAGGCTCCCACGTACTCTCCCCTCAGGATGACCCCAGCTTGGTTTCCTCTGCCTGTTTCCATAGGAGCCTGAAACCCGGGGGCCGCCCTTTGTCCAGGGAATGCTGAGGATGGGGCCCCAGGACCAGCACACAAGGGGTTAAAGGCCTGCACACAGGGTGTTTGAAGTAGGGCGGGGAAGGGAAGTGCTGGAGTAATAGAAGAGGCGGCTGGTCTGGGCTGGAGCGAGTCCCCCCTGTCTTCTCCTGTGCAAACCTCTGGGTCATGAGCCCTCCCTTTAAAAGGACCATGCGAGGGGCACTTCCATTGAGGCGCTGGACTGGATTCTTAGCGGGCCGACCTGAAGCGGGACTTTTTCTTATTTGAAGTCACCAACTGAGGGCAGGAACAAGTCCCCATCCTTGGGATATCTCCCGAATCTGGTGAGTTTCCCTCTCGTCCCTTTCTCGGGGTCCCTTCCCTATACATGGGCAACTCCCCCAGAAGCAGAGCTGGGAGGGGAGAACAGTGTGTGGCTTCTCTACCAGCCCCCCTGCATTCGGCTCTCATTGTTAATTAGGGGGCTGTGTGTGTGTGTGTGTGTGTGTGTGTGTGTGTGTGTACACAAAGAGGGAATCACAATTATGGCCAACAGTTAACACTCAAATACGTGCGTGACAAGTGATGCTAAACCCTTATACATATTCTTAATCTCCACAATCCTATGGATTTTAAAACTCTGATATCTGAATTCATTCAGGGTCCCCTTCCTAGTGCCTAACATTGTTCCTTTACCCCTGGGGGTTGTGAAATTTAAAAGGCCACCAACTCATACCTGGAGCCAGGGACATCCTGATTCTAGATTATCTATCAGATTCGGGGTTCCCTACTTTGCCCCCTACTTTAAGCTGTCTCCTGGGATCTGATGGGTTAATTCCCTGAGACACAGTGGCCAAAGTCTTCTCAGGTGTGTCCCTCTGAACCTCAGACCCTCTCTTGCCCCACCTATCTGGCACAGTACCCATAACACACGCCAAGAAACTGGCAGGAGATGGGAGAGGATTAGTTGGTCTCCCTCTCTTCTGTAGCCCCCACATGTCATGGGCTCCCCTGGGTCCATGCAGGGGATTTTGCTAACCTAAGTTTGGTTGGCAAACCAATTAAAAAAAAAAAAAAAAAGGTGGCACCTGGAAGTCCAAAGCAGCAAATTCCTGACTGATTTGTGAGCCTGGTTTATCAAAGACG